GATGCTGCTTGGCCTGCTGTGTTCATCCAGCCCTGCACCTTGTTGTCAAGGAAAAAGACAGACTCGGGTTGAATGATAGAAACAGAATTGTAGGATGTAGGTCCCTCTCAGGGCCAGACCTGAGTTGAGCTACAGTCCTGCTGATTAATAAATGGCTGGAGAGCACTCTTCCTGTGGGGAAGTAAGATAGTAACCAAGAGACTTACTGACACAAACTGTTCCTGTGTGGCCTCACACATGACCACCACTTGTAGATAGAGTCCTGCAAAATCTACTTTGGATAATGGATGAAACATCACAATTTAGTAAGACTTTCAGACTCACTCATGTGACTTGGGTCTCAGATTGGGGATCAAACAAGAAATAAATCTTTGTCCCAGCTGCAGTTTTCACTATCAGAGGTTGAGGGATGATTTTAGAGTTAGCTGCAGTTTAGTGGTAACACTGCAGGTACTAAATCAAAAGGTTGTGGATTCAAATCTGACTTCAGGGGATTTGGAACAATAGTCTGGTGAAGCACTGAGGGGAGGGCAGCCCTGGCAGTGTTTCAACTGAAAGATAGCTCCAGTTGAACCAACAACACATTACTGCACGGGAAAATGTCACAACACTCCTTAGAAGAGCAGCAGGGTACTTCTTGTTGGTCGCAGCCAATTTTAATCCTTCAATCTGCTACTTTTGAGAACTTGCAAATTGGTTGCTGCACTTCCTGGGGCTGAGTTTTACACAGAGGGCGTGATCCCAGATCACCCTGCCACAGAATCCACAGTGAGCCTGCCCCCCAAGGGAAAGGCTGGCCCTTAGTGATTTAATGCTAGCAGCAGTGTCAGTTGATTTAAACTGAGACATTTTCACCTCCTACCTCGGAAGAAAATCCCAACTTAGTGGGAAAGAGTGCCTGGCAGAAAAGGTGGTCACTTCTGGGATGACAGGGAATCCTTAAAAGAAAAAGAGTCCAACTTAAGATGAAGCCAGGGTATCACTGGGACCAGGTAGCCAAATGCCTAAGTCCTTCCACACAGATGAGGGCTGGCTAACTTCTTACCTGTGATCACTGCTTCCGAACTGGTTAAGGTAAAGTTGACCATCTGGACAGTACTGGGGCTCCCAACGCTGTAGTATCGCAGACTGCAGCCCCTCAGAACTCTCACACCCGCAAGAGGGGCCCAGGAGACCATAGCACTGGTGGTGGAGATGGAGGTCAAACTCAGAGCTTCTGGACTCTTTTCTAAAGACAAAAGCATTATTACTACAAAAAAGACATCAAACACAACGGATACCCACTTTATGGCCTCCGGATTCGAATCCTACAGAGGCCAATATTTCTTACCATCTCCAAAGGGAAGTTTCTAGGAACTGTTGGAAATTACCAAAGCTCAAGGTTTCATGCTTTAAGGAGTTTTGACTGTAACAAACAAACTAAAATCAACACAGATCAAACATTACTCGATAGGCAAACAGTATACCAAACTGACGAAAAGGTGCCTCCACGTGACCATTTTCTAAAATTGAAAAATATTCCACAACAACTTTTTGAAGCACTTCTGGAAGATATGCAGCAACATAAAATCAAGGCACAATTCGCTTTCAGCTTTCCAGCAGGCTCAGGCTCAATTTGTCCTCTTCTGGTGTCTTTTGAAAATGATTCCACTCACCCTGTCTTTTCCAGAGCTGATGTTCACCAGCATGACCCACCATGATCATTCTTATCTCTTAAGTCTCAAAAAGTCCTCTAATATTCTGTCTTCTTCTTTTTGAATAGGAAACTAACATCCTATTTGATGCTAACATCAAAAACAGTTCCTTTCCTCCCCCTGTTTTTCACTGTAATGTCTCCTTTGTTCTTTCCTCCCAATGTTTCTATCTCCAACAGCATCCTTGTCTCCACCAAAACATAAACTCTGTCACTTGGATGTTCAATAGGTTTCAGCGTAGATTTCTTTCGCCATGATAGTCTGATCACATGGGCCTGTTTCCCAGCAGAAGTTTAGTATGATCACTGTTACCCCAACAGCCAGTGCATTCTGTTTCGCCTCAAGTTAAAAGAGGCTTCTATCGTAAAACATAACTATCATAACTATCTTGTAAAACACTTCATTGGTAACAGGTACCAAAAAAAAATCGCTATGCGATAACAAAAACAAAAGCAGAGAACTATGGATGCTGGAAATCAGAAACATAATCAGCAATTACTGGCAAAATTCAAGAGGTCAGTTCCAAAGAATGGTCACTGGACCCAGAATGTTAACTCTGCTTTCTCAGCACAGATGCTGCCTGACCTGCTGAGTTTCTTCAGCAATTTCTGACTGTAAGGAAACAATCTGTGCTCATGGCTGAAAAGTAAACTGTTATTTTCTACATCGACCTTCAAAGGCCAGGAGAGAATGAAAATTTACCTGGAAGTCCTTTCCAGCCATCCCTTTCTACAGAGCTCCAACTCACTGCTGATCTCTTTTCAAAACCTAACCCAAGTAGTTACTCTTCTTATGGAGTCAGTTTATGCCTTCAGTATCTGGTTGTTAATCTGGTGGGATCGGATTATCCACCATTATAGATCCCTCCTGACCTCTCAAAAACAATGTAAACTGGTGGAATAGACATGGAATTGCTTCCCTAACAAGTGGGTTATCCATTCCACCACAGTACCTTCCATGCAATGATGTGAAGAATTTATCCAGTCAGTGATGACAAACTGTTTGACCCTATGGCTGGTATCGAAACAAACTTGCACCTCTCGTCAGTCTACAGGTTGGGGCTTTTGAATAAAGAGGGGAACAGGTGGGGGAACTTCAGGTCAGTAATACTTCCTTTCCCAAACTCTATGAACCTTCTTAGCACCTCGAGTTGAGGTCAGCCAACTCAGAACGCCATTGTCATTCGCTTCAACTCAATTCAAACATGATGACTACTCAAGATAGTAAGTTAGTGCTGTCGATCTCCTTGTGGTTATACAGGCTGTTTTTCAACCCATTTGAGCACATGGACAGGACGTCCTGAGAGGTAGTGGGATCCAGGTTACTCCTTCCCTCTGTGCAACCCCCTTCAGTTTTTTCAATAAGATGTTTGGACTCATGATGCTGTTTGATGGATGACTGGTCACTATTTTGAATGACTGACAGCAAGCTCCTCCCAATCCTGAATGCTAATGCAGCTACATTTCAAGGACCCTCCCTGGAATGGGAGTGTTGAGGAAACAGAATCAGCTGGGGAGACGTTTTATAGTCATCTGGACAGAAAGGGAACTCTGTCATAATTGGTTTTATGGGAGTTTTTCCCGAATGCCTGTAGAACTGGTTTCAAGAAGGACATAAGCATTTGTTCTATGGTCTTCCCTATTAAGCTGGAGAATGAGAAGGAGGAATTGCTGGAATTTCTTTCCATACATTGCTGACACACAGTACAGGAGTGTGTGACAGCAATTGCCCTGAACACCAAGACTCTCACTAACTTGCAGAGGCCTGTGTTGTCCAACATTCAGTGCCACAGCTTATGCAAGGCTAAGCTGGTACAACTGATCTTGTCAGCGGTGGCCTTTTGAGAGACAGTGTTGCCAAGGCATGGGAAGCTAAGGCAGAACATGGAGTGCATAAAAACTTTGTACAGTGGGAAGTTTAGTAGCTCACACAAAGGAGTGGGCATAAGCCAATCAATCTAGTGAATTGAATAGCAATTTGATGAGACCATGGCTGATCTGTACATTAACTTTATTCACCTTCCTTTTGCCCCAATTGTTAATATCACCCAATGTAAAAGAAAATCTCAACCTGAAAAAGCACTAGATACACACAATCTTCTTACTGTACAAAGGGAGAAATATCTTCTAATTTCACTCTTGAACAGCCTAAATCTAATTTTAAGTTTACGATCCCCTAGATTTAATCATGTCTCAATCTCATACTCAGCTCTTTATCTGTACTCAATCTCCTATACACAAGTCACGTTTATGCAATCAAGCATCATAATTTAGCCCTGTAAAGTCTGGTATCATGCAAGTGAATCTGCTTCTTCCAAGGCTGTTGAGTTATTCCTAAAATGTGATGCCCTGAAACTAAACACAGCACCCAGTGCCCTGGATGTGGTCTAACTAAAGCAGTAGATACTTGAAATACACCTCTCTTGACTGAATTCCAGCTGTCTTTGTGATAAAAGGCAGAATGCATTTCATTGTTTTTGATTGTTTTTATACCTGTTCATGAACTTTCAGTGATTTCGATACTGGTGAAAATTGTCTTAGAATGGAATTTTGTGAAAGAAGTAACAAAAGAATTGGAAAGAACTCACCAGAGTAGGTCTTGAAGGTAAAGGGCTGAGTGGTCACCAGGCCATCTGAGGAGGTGTTTAGCTGGATCACAGTGGTACACAGTGACAGGGAACCCAGACCTGCAATTTCAGACACATTCGTCACCGAGACTACATACAAGACATATAAAAAATAATTTCCGCACACAAATCTCTGAGTTTCTCTTCTATTGAAGTAAGTAATCTACTTCAGTGTGGGGTTGGGCCACATAGACTTGGGAATGTCCAATATTCTATTCCTGCTCTTTGCCAGTTTACACCCTCTTCAACATGAATCCATTGCAAACCCTATCATCAATAACTAAACAGACAGAAAATCCTGTTCACTGATCCAACTGGTGCACAATGACCTACAGCAGCTTGCTGGACAGCACAGCATTATTTTAACATTCTCGCCCTGGGTTTCTAATCCCTCCTTGGCCTTTATCTCACATATCTGTGTTCTGCTCCAGCCCTCAATGTTCTAAACAGCTGTGATCCTCTAATTCTGGCTTCTTAAATATGTCCAGGTTTAATTGTTCCTAATGATGTAGATGTAAGAGCAGAAATAGGTCATTTTCTTCTGTTACATCTGCTCTGACATTCAATGAGATCATGACTGATTGGGTAGTCCTTAAATCCACTTCCCTGCCTTTTCCACATACCCTCGATTCTCTTTCTGATTAAAAATCTGTCTATCTCAGCCTTGAATATACTTAATGGCCAAGCCTCTACAGCTCTTTACAATAAAGAGTTCTACAGATTGACAATGTTCAGAAAAAAATCCTTGTCATCCTTAAATGGGCCTCCCCTTACTCTGACATTATGTTCTCTAGTGTTAGACTTTCCCAAAAGCAGAAACAACCCTCAGTATCTACCCTGTCAAGCCCACCAAAAATCTTGTATGTTTCAATAACGTTTGCTCTCGTTCTTCCAAACTCTAATTGAGTACAGGCCTAACCTACTGAACCACTTCTCATAAGAAAATCCCACCATACCCAGGGTAAGCCCAGTGAACCTTCTCTGGGCTGCCTCCAATCCCAGCATAACTTTGTTTAGGTAAGTGGACCAAAACTCTTCACAGCATTCCAGGTGTGGTCTGACTAGTGTCTTATATAGTTTTAGTAAGATCTTCTGACTTTTATACTCCACTCCTTTTGAAATGAAGGCCAATATTCCATTCACCTTCCCTATTACCTGCTGAATTTGGATGCTAGCTTTTTGGTGTTCATTGACGATGAGTCCCAAATTTTTCTGTGCTGTGTTTTTTTGCGGTCTTACTCCATTCAAATAATATTCAGCTCCTCTATTCTTCCAAAATGTGTAACTTCACATTTTCCCACACGATATTCCATCTGCCAATTCTTTGCCCATTCACTTAGCCCTCTGCAGATTCTTTATATCATCCTCACCACTTGCCTTCCCAACTAGTCATGTGTCATCTATAAACCAGGTGATAATACATTCCCACATCCAAGCTGTTAACATATACTGTAAATACCCTGTGGCCCAACATTGATCCCTGTGGTACTCCACTAGTTACAGGTCACCAGCCAGAAAATACCCCCTATATCCCATCTCCCTGTCTGCTATTGGTTAGCCAATCCTCTATGCATGTTAATGCATTAGCTCTAACACCACGGGCTCTTATCTTAGTAAGCAGCTTAACGTGTGATACCTGAATGAACTAATTCATCAATGGTGCTAGGCATTCAGTTGTGTAGGCCTTGGAACTAGAATTAACTGCCTAAACCTGTTCACCTCGCTCCCCTCCTTTAAAATACTACTTAAAACTGAACTCTTTGACAAATAGTCATTCTCCTGTCATTATATTGATTTTTATGTCTTACTGTCACTTTGCTTGATGTTCCTCTGAATCGCCTTGGTGATTCTTAAAGATTCGATTGAAATGTAAATATGTGTCGCTGAGTTAGCTGATCTCAGTGTGAGTCTCAGTTAATTTCATTTTTGTCTTATTGAGGGGATTCTAGAGCAGGATCTACCTGAGCTCACTGTAATGTTAAGTGACTACAGCAATCTTATTGACAGGGATCACTAATGAGAAGGTTCCTGAGGGCATCAGTTCAGTGACTGCCATTAACAGTCAATCCCTAGGACTTCCTTGCTCAAGCTCAAGTCCCATGCCTCAAGTCTGTACTTCTTCCCAACTCAAACTCCATCCCTGATTCCACTTCGCTGACCACTTGCTGCTCTCTTCTAATAAATGCAAGAGTCTTTAGAACAGGATAAAAGATAAAAAGAGGCAAAATCTAGGCAAAGCCAGGGAAATTCCATCTTAAAAAATAGTATCATAAAACTTCAGGTTTTATAGGCCAGGTTATTGTGGTCTTCAAAACACTAAGCAGTGTCTGAGGACACAGAAGTCTCAGTGAGATCTGAAATACTTACCGGTTAAAAGTAAACTGGTGGTGTTTCCAGGCTGGTATGTTTGCAGCTGGATGACCTCGTTGGTGTGGTTTGTGCAGTTTGTATTAATTTGGTAGTTGAGAATCTCAGTTCCTGGTATTGAGATGACCGTCCATCTCAATGTGACATTGGGCCCTGTGACATTGGCTGTTACAGCTTGCACTATGTTCCTGAGCTCTGGGGAAGAAGTGGAGAGGTAGACAGCTTCTTAATATTCAGAACTTACTGCAAAGCAAGAGTGTGTACAGCTAGAACAGGCATTGGCCATAAGCAATTAATGTACAACCACAGGAACTGGTAAATATTTATAGCATCACAAGAGAACAGAGTGTTTTTGGAATTAACAACATCTCCTTGCTGAAGTTCTCAGACATTAAAATTAAAATTGGTAGGAACCATATCAGCATTAGCGATCTGAATTGTTGGTTCATGAAATATAACGTTTTTCTTTAATGTTGAACAATTAGGGCATATAAAGGGACACAAGATTGCAGGTACACTGCATTGAGTAACTGCAGTGCAACTGATCAGACTCTGCGTCCTACTTTATGCCTTCACGTGTCCTGAACTCTCTTATATACACTCAAGCATCTCCTGCTTTCTTAGAGAGTATTGAAAAAACTGGATGTAAAAGCGAAATGGCCATAGTCCTGTTGGACCACACGGCTGCTCTCAAGGGAAGGGAGCTTTAGTGATTGGAACCAGATGGATCTTGTTGACTACAAGGTTCTCAATTGGATTTGTTAACCTGGGCCAATCAGGAAAGCTCTGGCTGACCAATATAACCAGGAGATTGGAATGTTCTCAGTAAGGGACTGACCCTGAGCAGGCTGCTCACAGCTAGTGTACTGTGCACTGATAAATAAAAGGTGGCTTGGTGACAGAACCCAGCCTCTGTCTAGTTATTTCAGGAGCTTATTAATATTAAGTATTCAATTTTTCAACTGGACTTGAACCCTTGACCTCCTGACACAGATCTCAATGAGCTACCGACTGAGCCAAGCTCACATACAACGATCCAGGCTTTATGCAAACTCCAGGGTTCAGCTGCAGCCTCATCAGGCTCCAAACACAAACTGGGACAGTATAAAAACTGGCTTCAGTGGAGAGAAATGCATGTGGTGGGAGTGCCTTACCGTAACACCTGGGACCTGATCTCCTCCAGCCTGGTTTGCAGCTACATACCAGGGACCTGGAGCTGTCTGTGTGACAAACTGCATTGACATCACAACTCAGGCTCTGGCACAGACGTGGCACTGCAAAATCAAGGGCACACAGCGATATTAATGTGTTCACACAGTGAAGGGGCGAGTCAGGGAATGGCCAGACCCTGAGTTAGACAATTAGATCTTGCTTATCAATTATCTTTGAGATTTTTATAGTGACCTCTACTGTGAAGACCTTTGCAAAATATTGGTTTAAATAATCTGTCATTGTCCTGTACCTAATTATTAATTCCCCGGTTGTAACCTCCGAGGGTCCCACACTTATTTTAGCTACTGTCTATATATATACACCTGTTTAATGTCTTGTTGTTTGTTTTTATGTATTTTGCCAAGTTACTTTAATAATCAAGTTTTTTCCTCTTTATGAACTTGTTAATCATCTATTGCTGGCTCCTAAAAAAATTCCAATCCACTGGCCTACTACTGCTTTTCACCACTTTGTATGCCTTAATTTTTGATTGGATACTCCCCTTGACCACCTTTGTTGACCGCTAGTGGTTCATTCATTTCATTGAGTCCTCCTTTTCAACCAGTATAAGTTTTTGCTGAGTGTTAAAAAATATCTGCCTCTGCTCATCTACTCTGCCCCCTGCTCTCTCGTCCCTGGTACATCTGAACACACCAATCAGGAGCAGGAGTTGGCCATTCAGCCCCTCAAAGAGATCATGGCAGATCGGGCTGTAGTCTCAAATTTGCATTTCTGCTTACCTCCGATAAGCATTCCACTCCTTGCTCAGTGAGAATCTATCCACGTCTGCCTTAAAAAATTTAAGGACTCAGATTCCAGTACCCTTTCAGATCTCACAGCGTCAGGGACCCAGGACTGATTCCACCCTCGGGTGACTGTCTGTGCAGAGTTTGCACATTCTCCCCCTGTGTGCATGGGTTTCCTCCGGGTGCTCCGGTTTCCTCCCACAGTCCAAAGATGGATTGGCCATGCTAAATTGCCGCATAGTGTCCAGGATGTGCAGGCTAGATGGGTTAGCCATGGGAAATGCAGAAATACAGGGATAGGGTAAGGGAGGTGGGGCGGGTGGGATACTCTTCAGAGGGTTGGTGTAGACTGAATGGGTTATATGGTTTGTTTCCACACTGTGGGTGTTCTATGATAAATGATGACATTCTATTAGCTTTCCTAATTACTTGCCAGACCTGCATAAAGTGTTTTTGTGATTCATGCTCTGAAATCTTTCACCATTTGGATAATATGCTTCTTCTTTTATTCTTCCTGCCAAAATGGACAATTTCACATTTTCTCATATTATGTCCTACTTGCCACATCTTTACCCAGTCACCTACTAATATCTTTTCCTAACTTCCTTAAGTCCTGTTCGCAACTCATCAGCAAATTTGATAACAATACCTTCTGGCGGTTCATCCAAGTCATTTTTATAGATTGTGAACAGTTCAGGTCCTAGGATCAATCCTTGAGGCAGAGCACTCATTATGTCTTGCTAACCTGAAAAAGACCCATTTACACGAACGCTCCACTTCCTGTTAGCCAGCAATGTATATAGCTTATCTTTAAGCGTTCTGGGTCTGTCCCTACTTCTCTTCACTCAACATTCTGCTTGAAGATATTTACCTGAGTGGTCTTTGTACGGGATATATCATGTCAACACAAGCTAATCAATTTGAAATGGCTTCTTTAATAATATTGCAATGTGAAGCCCTAATTCTCAGTTGGTCTTTGATGAGAGAGAGAATTGGAGAGATCTAGAGGTTGGGGTCATGAGTAAAGAATTGCTTGACAATAAATCAAAAGAATTGAACAAAACTCACCCATTTCATAGTAAATTTTGAACTTTGTGTTTGGCACGTTTGGGCCAGAGTGGAAATGGACCCAAGAGTCTGTGCAGTTGGAGAGGTCAAAGGTCGTGATGTTCAAGTGTTTCTCGGTCAGTGTGAACTGTTTCTGTCGCTCGGGATCTGTTCCACATCCAAAGGAGATGTAATCCTCCTGAGACTCCACAGACAGTGACTGCACCCAGAATCGGATTCCTGTGTGGAATAACAATATGGGTGCTGTACAGTGCTCATGTTAGCCATTGCTTCAAACATAAATAAAGGTACTGTGCACACTCGTGGTCCCCTCATGTTACTGAAGGCAGCTGTTGTGACTCTGAGTCAGAAGGTAATGGATTTCTTCACCCAGTGTTATCAGCTTGTGGAATTCTGTGTCACATCAGGCGGTCAAAGCCAAAACAGGGAATGTTTTCAAGAAGGAATTTGATGTAGTTCAGGCTACAGGAATCTATGAGTCTAAAATACAAGTGGGAACAAAGTGCAGAGTCGGATAATCAGCCATGATTGTACTGAGTGGTGGAGCAGGCTCAGAGGGCTGAATGGCCTACTCCTGCTTGTAGTTTCTATGATTTCAGATATAAGCACATAATCCAGATGGAGACTCAACAACAACAACTGATATTTATAGAAACAATAAAAAGAAAACAGATACTGAGCCACATGAGAAAGTATGAGATCTGTTGATGTAAGATGTCCCACACACGACTTCAAAGAGTAGATCTCCATGGTGTCTTGGCTATAATTATTCCTCAAACAGCTGAGACGAGTTGAAAGTGGCAATCCCCAGGGATTGGTGTTGGGACCCTTGCTTTTTCTGATTGATATAAATGATTTGAAGATGGGTATGGAGGGTAAAACCTTTAAATCTGCAGTTGATACTATGCTAGGGAGAACAGTGAACTGTGTGGATGACACTGAGCAACTTCAGAGGAGTGCTGACAAATGGGCCTAATGGGCAGGCACCCAGCAAATGGAATTTCAATGCAGAGGAATGTGAGGTCATGCACTTTGGTAGAAGAAACACAGACTCCAGGCTCAATGGTCATGCACTTTGGTAGAAGAAACACAGACTCCAGGCTCAATGGTCATTCACTTTGGTAGAAGAAACACAGACTACAGGCTCAATGGTACAACTTTGAGGGGAGTACAGGAGCAGATGGACCTCTGGGTTCACATAAATGATTCTCTGAAGGTGGCCAGGCAAGTTGAAACAGTTGTTAAGAAGATTTATAGGATCCTTGTGTTGATAAATAGAGGCATCAAGTATAAAAGCAAGGAAGTGATGCTACACCACTACAAATCATTGGTCAGACCACTTTTGGAGTATTGTGTTCAGTTCTGGGCACCTTATTTAAGGAAGGATGTTATAGCCCTGGAGAGACTTCAAAGAAGATTTACTAGAATGATACCAGGAATGAGAGATTTTAGATAAAGATTAGAGAGGTTGGGCTTGTTCTCCTTGGAGCAGAGAAGATGAAGAGGTGACCTTATTGAGGTATTCAAATCGTGGGCAATTTTGTCAGGATAAAGAAGGATATTCTGTTTCCACTAGTTGGTGTGTCAGTAACTGAGGGTCACAATTTCAGCGAGAGAGATAGAAGTGAGAGGAGGAAAAAAATTCTTTACTCAGAGCTTGGTTAGGATTTGGAATGCACTGCCTGGGAAAGTGGTGGAGGTGGATTCCATAGGAGGTTTCAAAAGAGAGCTGGATATATATTTGAAAGTGAGATTCAGAGGGCCACGGAGATAGGGCTGATGAGTGGGACTAGCTAGGCAATTCTTTTGGGAGCTGGAACACACACGATAGGTCGAATAGCCTTCTTCTGTACTGTAAAACTCTATGATTCTATAACATCAAGAATAAACAGATTATCTGGTCATTATCAGATTGCTTTATGTGAGGCCTTGTTGCATGTACAAGGTCTGCTGTACTTCAAACATTTCAACAGTTGTTGATCACCTACAGGAATTGGTCAGGAACTCCACAGAATTCTTTGCATCCCAATCCTGGGGATTGATTTGAAGCTGTGTTTTGTCTCTTCCTGATGATTGCCTGGTAACTGGTGACTGGTATCCATGGGAGTTGTAATGCTTAGTTGCGGTGGCTGACAGTGACACCCCATGGGAACCAGGTGTCTTTCTCGGTCTTTTTGCACGTTACTCTGTAATGAGGACCTCTTACATTCTCAGGCTGGCCACAGAACTTCACCAAAGGTAAATTTGAAGAGTTGTAATCTAGGCAAAGGTGGAGGCCAATTTGTGCACTGGAGGTCCTGTGATTGATTGGTTGATTTATTGTCACGTGTATTGAAGTACGGTGAAAAGCTTTGTTTATGAGCAGTACAGGCAGATCATAGCAAGCAAGGATGTACAGATCAAAAAGACTTAGACAGAAGCATGCAAGTTACATTGCACAGGGTGTGTGCTGGGCAAGATCAATGTTAGCAAGATCAGCATTATCTGAAGCTAGAGAGTCCATTCACCATTCTGATAACGATTAGGAAGAAGCTGTTCCTGAACTTGCTGGTGCGTGTGTTCAGGCTTCTGCCTGATGGAAGAAATTGTAGGAGGTCATTACCAGGGTGCATGAGTCTTTGATGATGTTGGCAGCCTTTCCGCAGCAGCGAGCCATGTAAATGGAGTCCATGGATGGAAGGTTGGCTTCTGTGATGGTCTGGGCTGTGCACACTACCTTCTGTAGTTTCTTACGGTCCTGGGCAGAGCAGTTACTATACCAGGCCATTATGCACCCGGACAGTATGCTTTCATTGGTGCATCTGTAGAAGTCGGTGAAGGACTTTATGGACATGCCAAATTTCCTGAGCTGCCTGAGGAAGAAGAGGCATTGTTGTGCCTTCTTGACTGTCCATCTATGTGATAAGTCCAGGACATGTTGTTGGTTATCGTCACTCTGGGGAACACGACGCTCTCCACTCTCTCAACCTCAGTTCCATTGATGTAGATGGGGGCGTGTTCTCCTCCTTTCTTTCTGAAGTCAATGCTCAGTTCTTTAGTTTTGCCAATGTTGAGAGAAAGGCTGTTTTCAATGAGCCACATCACCAAGCCCTCTATCTTCCTTCTGTACTTTGACTCAATGTTGTTAGATATCCATCCTAATCCAGTGGTGTTGTCAGCAAACTTGTAGATGGCGCTCGTTCGGAATTTGGTAACACTGTCATGGATGTACAGGGAGTACAGTGCATACAGTGATAAGAGTAATGGCCATATCATCTGGTTTTGACAGTGGTGTCCCTGGGCAGTGTTGGACTGTTCATAATGAGGGCATTAAGAAGCAACTGCTTGCTTTGGAACTGGAGTCAAGAGGAGGTATGTTGAAATTCTGAAGCAAGTTAAACTGAGGTTTGTCTACCCTTGGGTGAATGGAAAAGTGCAGGGAGATGCCTCGTGGCATTCTGGGCAACATTTATCCATTAACAAATATCACTAAAAGCAGATTATCTAGAAATTTATCTCAGTGCTGTTGTGGGATTTTGCTGTGTTCAAATTGTTTGCTGCTTTACTAACTTGTGACTTCCTACTTTCTCATTCTTTTCTTCTTTACTGTTTATTCTAAGTTAATTATTAAGAACTCATTAGAATTTTGCATTTCCTACCTTACAACAGTAATTGCACTCTGGTTACAGAACTGTTTGGGACATCCTCAGATTACAATGTGCAACATATACAAATGGAGGTGTTTGCAAGTCCGTATCTTCTGTAGAGTGGTGACGTGGTGTTGGGAGATGATTTAAATTTTATAAAATCTCCTTATCTCTCACAACCAGTAATAGAGGTTTAAACAATAGGAAACATTTACTCCGTTGTCGAGTTCACTACCTGGCTCCACTGACAGGAGTTTAAGTCCGTTTTCCCTATGAATTGGGCAATCCAGAGTTGGCAGAAATACCGCTATGAGCATCAATGCTATGGTATTAACCCAGCCATGGAGAACAGGCTGTGTTAGGCTAAGCTCCCATTCCCAATCTGCTCAACTTTCATTCCTGTTGGGGCTACGTCTGGATGGACAAAACTCCCAGATGATCTTGGGTTTAAAAGTTAATTCCCTGAACGCTCCTGAGAGTAAATCAAGACGAACTATGAGGGGAGCTTCCTTCTTTCATTTATGTTCAGGCTGACCGATGGCAAGCAGGAAGGTAGTAGTGTTTCCAGATGTAACTCTGTTGCAAGTATCCTGGAATGGGTGAAAAACTCACATAGTGTAGAATAGTTTCTGGATTGTGGAAGCTTTTGGGAGTTTCTGTTGCCAATAATCATTGACTACCATGGAAATCGATGTTTTAAGTGGACCCATGATAGGGGGGATGTGGGCAGAAATTCACAAGATCAAAGCTCCCAGAATAGCATCCAAGCAAAATTGACAACTCCAGGCCAGACAGTGAAACAACTCACACAGTGGCTCCCAAGAGTCTACTTTAGGGTTATCTAAGAGTGCAAGAGGATCTCGATTTGCTGAGGAATGGCAGGTGAGGTTTGGTGCAGATAAATGCGAGGTGTTGCATTTTGGTGAGACAAACCTGAGCAGGACTTACACAGTTAATGGCAAGGCCCTGAGGACTGTTGCCGAACAGAGACACCTCGGGGTGAAGGTAAATAATTGCTTAATAGTGTTGTTACAGGTAGATAGGGTGATGAAGGAGGTGTTTGGCATGCTTGCCTTCATCGGTCAGAGCATTGAGTACAGTAGTTGGAACATTGGTAAGGTCACTTCTGGAGTACTGTGTACAATTCTGGTCGCCCTGCTATAGGAAGGGTGTAATTACACTGGAAAGGGTGTAACAAAGATTTACAAGGATGTTACCGAGACTGGAGGGTTTGAGTTTAAGGACAATCTGGATAGGCTGGGACTCTTTCCCCTGCAATAGCCAAGGAGGTTTATAAAATCATGGGGGCATGGATAAGGTGAGTAGCCAAGGTCTTTTTCCGAGGGTAGGGGAGTTCAAAACTAAAGGGCATAGGTTTAAGGTGAGAGGAGAAAGATTTAAAAGGGACCTGAGGGGCAACTTTTTCACAGGGGGTGGTGCACGTATGAAACAAGGTGCCAGAGGAAATGGTAGATGCTGGTTCTGTGCTCTTCTGATCAGCGAATGATGCAGCAGTTCAAAGTAGATCCTTTCACGTTCAGGAATGGAGTTCCCATTTACCTGTGTATCGTCGAGTGGCGTTAGACATCTGAGCCATGTTGAAGAACCAGTACATGTCTGCACTGTTCTGGTACAGACTTGGGAAGTTATTGGACATGATAAAGCCTGATAAGCACGGACAGGGATTGCCTGAAAGAGCTGGCTGATTAGCTGTTCCTGGGATAATTTCTGGTGGGCAAAAACAACCTAGAAACAGAGAAGGAAAACATTAAGTGGTTTAGTCTTGGTTCCCCCTTTATAACTGCCCTGCAGTGTTTTGCAATTCCTCAATGGAATGACTCCACAAGAGCCATTCAACAAATGTGTCGATAAAATAGGAAAGTTCACGGCAGTTCACCTGGTTCTGTCCACGGAATTATACTCCTCAAAGCCCTAGTTTCTCAAACATGTGTAGGTGCAGCAGAATCCCTCTTGGCATTTTGCTCTGTAATTTTACAGCTGCTGTTTGTGACTCAGGATCATCCTCAATATTTTCATCTTGCCAGTCCATCCTAAGTTAATTGCTGGGGCCCTGTTGAGATTCTGGTCTGCATGGAAGTTGTCTTGCATGCATGTTCAGCCAGGTTAAAATAAGCCCTCCTTCGGCATATATTTTTAATCAAGGGGATCCGTTAGGCCTGGCTTGTGATGCAGAGCGTCACCAACAGCGTGGGTTCAACTCCCACACTGCCTGAGGCCCTCGCTTCTCAACCTCATCCCTTGCCCGAGACACGGTGACCCTCAGGTTAAATTCACCAGTCGTCTCTCTCTCTCTCTTTAAGGACAGCCTTCTGGGACTATGGTGACTTTTTAATCAACCCATTCAGACAGGTTATAACACAGGTCAAAGGGCAGGTGGGATTTTGAG